AGGCAGCCCCTGAGGGCCGGGCCAGGTGGGCCTGGTCAGGAGGTGGGGCCGCCTCACTGTTTTCTGTTCCTTCTGCTGCTTTGAGCTCTGACCTCTGGCCGTGGTGACTTCTGCAGCAACAAACTTTGTCCCAGTGTTTTTTCTGACATTTCTTCCTCCTTTAACTCCTGCTTTGAAACTGGAAGAGCTGGAAGGTGGTGTTTTTCCCCCGTCCAGAAGAAGATGCAGTGGGAAGAGGCATGTGTCTTGTTCAGCACCTTCCAGGAGTGTTGCTGGGGTTGGAGAGGGCCTAGAAGGCCTGTTCCCAGCCCAGACCTGGCTCTGCTCCCCAGCATAGTAACAATTTAAGGAAACACTTCTGAAAGAGCAGAGACAAAGGGTTAAATCTGCACCCAGGTAGCAAGGCTGTTGCATAAAAGCTGAGAGAGTTGTTTTTTTTTTTTTGTTTTTTTTTTAAGATCTCGTGCTGCTTTTTTACTTTGTGTTGGCAAAAACCCCAGGAGAAGATGGGAGATTCTGGGAGGAGATGATTATGCTGGGTGAGTCAACTGAGCTCCCCAGCTGCCGTTTTTAGTTCCTTTGCTTTTCTGTAACAGGAGGCGGGGGGGGGGTTGGGCGGGAGGGTGGGGGGAAAGGATAGGAATGCTGGTTTGTATGACAGGACAGGAGGCAGGTGTGCATAGGAGAATTTGGGGGGCATTCACGGGTTGACAGGGCCTCACCATCAGCACGTTGGTTCAAGGAGCAAGTATTAAGGCAAAGTGCTCTGTAACTGACAGTGATCATCTCCCTGTCACTGTCCTGTCCCCAAATTAGCAGCCTTCTTGATGGCCTTGGTAGCAGAGGTGTGGAAGGTTAAGTGCGAGAGGCCTGGCAGACGAGACACCTGGTGGGTTGGGGGGCGGCAGGAAGTTTGGAGGAAAGGGCTCTCCTCTCTGTGATGAGAGGATGGCTTGGGCTTGATTAAGAGTGTAGGGGTGTTGTGGGGTAGCACCCCTATAGCTGGTGCCTCCCAGCTGTCCTGTATTCTGAATCTGGTTCCCCTTGGCGACCACTTTTGCCTGAAACTTTGTGTCAGGAGAGAGCACCAGGGGCCTTGTCAGCCCCTGAGCTGCCTGTTGGCAGATGACACTCCTCACAGGTCACCTGTCCTTGGCAGAGGGGGTCTTGGGCCCAGAGACTGCTGGAACGTGGTCTACATATTGACCTGATGTAGACCCCAGAGACCACCATGAACGACACCCCCCCCCCCGACATTTTCTTACTTAGTCACATGTACACATTTATTCAGTCAGTCAGCACCATGGTAGATCCTCTGCCTTGTGTGTGGGCATTGCTGTGGGTGTGAAAAAGGCCAGTGGGCCTTCCCTTTGCATCCAGTCCAATGGAAGGACAGACAGTGACCAGCCAACTTGAATGGGCAGTGATTGTCTTGAAAGAGGAAAAGGGTCTCCCAGTAATAGATTTTGACCTTCCTTTCTTGTTTTACCACCCAGGGGAAGGTGACTTTAAGCATGACAAAGAACCACTTTTATTGCAGGAGGATTTGCACAGGGGCAGCAAGGGGCAGCGACGCTTGGGCACTCAGGGCATAGAAAGGTGAGTGAGATGCTGGCCCTGACCCAGAGCTTGAGGGGTTAGGGTGTGGAGACCTTAGGGAAGTAAGGTGAGTCAGACGGTGAAGGGGTGCAGTCAGGATGTCCTGTGAGGCCAAGGCGGGAGAAGGGAGAGACCATGCTTGGCTTTAGAGGTGGATCCTTAACAAAAGGATTAGGACAAGCGGGTTTACTTGCTTGGATCACTTAAAAGAAGGCGTTCCGTGGTGGCCCAGCCTGGCTTTTGTGTGCGGCTCTCCTTACCACAGTTCTGATCCCTTTCTTGCACGGCAACCAGAGTGGAGGAGCAGGGGCCCCCACAGATCTGTCAAACTCCCTGCGCTCCTGGCGGGCCACACAGTGCTCTGGAAACAGCTGTTGGGCAAAGAAAAGTGTTTTGAGGCAGCCTGGGCACCTCAGCTGCATTTGGTTAGTCCTCATCGGCTCCCGTCAGGCTTCTGTAAAGTGAGCAAAGCCTTTCTGCTGCAAGCTGCCTCCTGCCTCCCCCAGAGCCTGGGCTGCTGGCAGGCTAGCTCTCCTGTGATATGGAGGAACTTGTTGGTCTCCATGGTTACAGTAACCCACTGGTGCGGGAGGAGCCGCACTCCACTGAGGCTGACGATGACAGCTTCCCCCGGCCCCTGGCATCTGTGGTACTGGTATGTCGTGGCTTCTTGGGCCGTTTCTGGCGGGGGGAAGGAGTTAGAGAGCCACAGGCCCACCTTCCTCTGGACTGCCCTTGTCAGAGGGGTTTTCTGTTAGCAGAAAACCTGACAGCCAGCCTGGTAGAAACTTGACTTTGTTTATTCTAGAAGGAACACCAGTTTTTCCATACTGGTACTTATAGTCAAGTTCTTAGAAATCATAGCTTTTCTCGGGGGGAGGAACCTTGGAGGTGTAGCCAGAGTTCTTAAACGAACATCATGAGAGTTGGTAGGGAGCCCTGTGAGCACCAAGCCCTGTGGTCAGCACTTGCATGGAACCCTCATCTCTACCCATGAGTCCTATGAAGCTGGGATGGCTTGTATCCTTGTGCCCCGAATAGGGGCACAGAGTGCAAGAAGCCAGGTCAGCCTGCCCGTGTTCATTCATCCAGCACGGACAGAGGTGGGCCCGTCTGCGCCGGATCTCTGCCCTGTTCTGCTCTCCTGAGAGGGAATGCAGTGAGTCTCATGTACACTTCCCCTCTTTGAAGTTTCTGGAAGGCAGCAACCAGGTCTTTCTAAACTTGGCAGCTGATCCTGACTCTAGAGGTCTGTGCTCAACAAAAATTTGTGACCGGACAACTCACGGAGGGTTGAGACGGAGTGGACCTGAAGAGCAGGTTCTCAGGGATGCAGGGTGCTAGAAGTTGTCAAAGCCCCGGCTGCTTCGCAGAATCCCACTGTGTTTGAAGAGCCCGGGAAGCTCTGAAGACAATTTGAGGGGGCGTGTTGCACCGTGGCCTCCATACGTGAGGGGTGAGTGGGGTGACTCCTGGCTGCTCCCACTCCAGGTCAGTTCCTGCTTACGCTGAGCCTGCACTGCACCTGCCTCTGGCCCAGGCTGCAGTGCTGGTGGCCCCCGTGGGCTGAGGGTGGAAGCTCAAGAGGCTCAGGGCAGTGAGCCACCTTCCTCTGGGTGTGCTCCAATTGCAGGCCCTGCTGGTCCCAGTGAGTCCCGTGTGTCAGGGAGGAACTGTCCTGGCTGGGACAGTCTATACCGTCTGCCTCCCCGCAACAAAGTGGGAAGGGAGGGTCGGCATGTGAGGCATCATAGCTTTACAAGTCTCTCCGACCCAGGATGCTTCACTGGCATCTTCACTCTTGGCAGTTAAGAGTGACAGTTGCTAGGGTCGCAGAAGGCCAAGACGGCTCATGGGCTCAGGGAGGAGGAGGAGGGTTAAGGAACTGGCCGCTGCCATGCCACGTGACTTTCCAGCGCAGCCCTGCCCCATCTCTCCCGGCCTCTCTTTGAGGTCAGTGCTTGGTACTTCCTCCTTTTACAAAACCCCTTACTACCTCCCACAGATAGGGCTGAGGAAACTATCCTGTCACATTTCAAGACCCAGGAGCTGGGAAATGGAGCCCTGTCATCCTGCTCTGGCTTCTGGGTGACAGGCAGGTGGTGCCAGCAAGCCTGATCCCAGGATCCAGAATCAGCCCTAGCCTCTTCTGCTGAGATCAGGGCCCACTTGTGAAGAGGTACAAGCAGGAGGGGTTGTGTGGGGTCCCAGGTGGGCCTTTAAGACAGCTCTCCCACCCCGACGGGAACTAACCTGGTCTCCTTGCTATCTTGGCCCTTCCCTGTGTCTAGATCTTTTCCTCCCCACCCGCTATGGAAGAGGAGCAGGAACTTGGCTACTTTGGGGTGAAATAGGCCTCAAATCAGACATCAAGAGCTGACGAGAAATTGGTCCTGTGAGGAGCCTTGGCACCTGAAATGGATGCCATGGCCCAGACTCCAGCCCTGTATCTCCTCTGGGAGGCCAGGAACCTGGGCCAGCCCATTAACTTCCATGCTGCAGCTTCTCATATGTAGGATGAGCCGCTACCTAGCCTGTAGGTCCATGGTGTGGAGTGTGTGGGCAGCGCCGTGCGGGGTCGCTGACAGGCTGGTCAGGCACGTGCCGTGCAGCCTGGCCTTCCAGGCATCTGTTCAGGAGCCGCGGGCACAGAGGAGGCGCTGCCCTTCACGGATGAGGGTGTGGCTGGCCAGTGGGGCTCTTCAGAGAACTGCTGAATGGGGGTGATCCGGACCTAAGCCGGCGGAGCGAATGTGAAATGGCCTGGGACCCAGCGAGAGGCCAGCAGTGCAGGGCTCTGCAGGAGGGAGCAGCGAGGAAAGGCTGCTCAGAGAAAGGTTCTTGGAGAAAGCAGTGTTGGGGTGTGGGGGTGAGGGAGATGTGGAGGTGGGCAGGAACCCAGGGATAGACTCCTAGAGCCTGTTGGTTTGGGCAAAATTTAAACATCGCATTCTCTTTTTGTGATGTGGTTTCTTAGTCTACAGCCCACAGACCCTGAAGGGGCTTCTCAGTGTGCCTGAGCCCCTGTAACATGTCCAGAATGTTTTGTGTATATTAGAGTGTGCATTTTCTCAGGGTAGACGTTGCTCTTTGTGATGTAGATCCATCTGCCACTGGTGGCTCACTGTTTTCTGTCCCCCTTTGTTGTGGGGGTGTCTCAGTGCTCTGGGTCAGCAAGTCTGACTCACGCTACTCCTCCCCTCCAGATTTGAGCCCCTATCCAGGTCCCACCTGCCACAGGCAAGATAAGGGCTTTATAACAGCCCTGGCTGGAGACAGTCTCCTGGCCCTCCCAGCTGTTACCCAGCAGAGCACCTTGGGGAGGGTGGGGCAGCCACTTCCGGGGAGGGGGAGGGGAGGGGAAAGGAAGTGGATCTAAACCCGCCTCTTTCTCTGTCTCCCTTCCTTCCCATTCCCCTCCTGCCCCTTTCCTCCCACCTGGCTTCTGGTGTCCTGTCCTGGGCCTGTCTGCACTTCTGGCCAGCAGGCCCAGGCCATAAGAAGCCGAGGGGCTGTGTCCCTGGGTGCTCTCTTTGCCCGGCCCGGTCTCTCTGCTAGTGGTGGTTTCGGTTGCGACACAGTCCAAGTTCCCAGGCAGGAGCCGCTTGGCCTGGCTGCTTCGCTACTTTCCTCTGAGGAGGTGGTGGAAGGTGTCGCCTGCCTGGCTGAGTGAGGGAGGCTGGCCTAGCTGCCTGCCCCGCCCTGGGCCTGGCTCTTCCCGGCTCTGTACTTTGCCCTCACTGCCTGACAGCTTCTGCTTTGGGCTCTGCTGAATGGAAGTCGCTGGTAATCCTTGTCCCTTCCAGACGGGTATGTTTTCCCTTTTTCCTTTGGTTTTGTCCCCTCATTCCTCTCCTACCCTAGAACAGGCTCTTTCAAGAATTGCTAAATGGAGCCAGGCTAGCACAGGTAGTAAAATCCATGGGCTTCCAGAGGCGCTGAGTAGAAAAGGAAGAGGGAGCAAACAGCAGAAGAGCCCCCTCTCTGGGGCCTGCAGGTTTAACCAAGTGAGGGGAAGAGGCCCGCAGCAAGCTGAGGCCCAAACAAGGCGTGAGGTGAGGGGACCTGGCACCGGGGCACCCCGCGGTGCTTACTCTGCCTCCACCCAAGGAGAGCCAGCCTCTCAACCCTCCCAGCTTAGCCCCTTCCCAGCCCAGGGGAGGCCTCCGGACTCGGGGCCAACCCAGAGTGAGCGCCCCAAAGCCCTAGCTTTCCTAGGGACAATGCTGGGGGGAGCCTCCAGCATTAGGGAAGGGGCCCTGCCTACCTGAGTCAGCACCGGCTCTCGGGGTGGAGACTGTCTTCCGGGCGGACCTGGCAGCAGGCCTGGGCCAGGTTCTGAGATCAGGTTGAAGGAGCAACCAATTCTAAAGCGCTTTTATCCATCTCCTGCGTTCTCTCCTCCTCTCTGTCGAGGACCCTGAGCTGGTAGGCCTGGCCTCTGAATCAGCTAGCTTTCTAACCTGCAGCTACCGCCCTAGGCTCCGTATCCTGCCTGGAGGGCAACCCCTTATTCTTCCAGGAGCTGCCTGAGCACCATGAAGCCATCTTTGAGCAGACTGTGGGGCCTCCCTGGGGTGTGGTGCAGGCTGGAGCTTTGGGAATGTCTGGGCTTCCGTGTCTCACTGTAAGCAAGGAGGACAGACCCTGTGTGCCGGACCTTGTTCTCAGCCCCCACCCTGCTGGTGAGCCTGAGGTCCAGGCAGACTGGGTGTAGTCAGAACCCCAGAAAGAAGCCACCTGCATCTTCAGCTTCTCTTCAGCCTTGCAGAAGCTGTCATACTTGGGACCTTGGTCCGAGCAACATTTCCTGTGGAGGGCTTTTTCTTCTCGGCTTCCTCCCTACGGCTTCCCTTGCCTGCCCCCATCCCTGCTGTGAAGAGTGTCTTTCAACACAGAAGAGGCAGAGTGGGTGAGAGGAGGAAGGTGCCCTATCCTGAGGCTTGATGCTCCCTCCTGAAAGGGGGGTGCCTGACTCACGCAGCAGGGATCAAAGAGCAGGCGCCACCTTGCTGTTTCCCTGTGTTTGACTTGGACCGCGAAGATTTTCTTCACTGTCCAGCATGCACAGCCTGGACATGGCCCTGCGCTGCTGCCCAGTCTGGCTCCCAGCGTCCCGATTCCCCTGCCTGTGAAGCCTAGAGTGTCGGTGGAGCCGGAGAGGATGCCCACCGCCTGGCCTGGACCTCCCTCCCGCGGGAGGGCCCAGAACGCCTCTTGCCTGCCTCCACCAGGGCTGCAGCTAGACTTGGAGGGTGGCGGGAGCTGTGACTGTGGACAGGGGTCACAGCTGGGCAGGGGCTTCTCATTGGGCTTGGGACAGTGTTGATGTGTGTCCTCCTACCTGCCCGACGTGGGTGGCATTATTTTCTTGTGCTAGTAAGTGCGAGGCCAGGACCTGACCTGGGGCAGCCCCCAGTTCCGCGTGGGGCTCACTGCACACTGGTTACCTTCTGGGTGGTTTCCTTCACCCTTTGTAACGATCTGTCTTCCTCAAGGATGATGTTGATAATAATGGAGTGAATGTGTGTTAAGTAGGCAACAACTTTAGGGTTTGAACCCAGGGAGTTTACCTCTGGCATCTGTACTCTTCGCCACACCCCTTTACCTCAAGGAGGGAGGTGGGCACGGTGCTCATGATCCTTGAAGTCCCCCATGCATGGCCATGGCCCCTGAGCCAGAAATTCCTAGGGGGTGCAGAGAGAAGATTCAGGAGGATGGATAGTGGGAGCCCCACACTTGGCTTCAGAGGGGCAAGAAGCCCAAATCCTCCCAGCACTGAATCCCTATTCCAGATTGTTGGGACCTGGATGGAGACTGCTCAGCGCCTGCTGCCTTTGTCTTGTGTAGGAGATGAATTAGAGCTTGCTGGGGAAAGGTCATCTGCCTTCCCTTGCGGGGTGGGGTCGAGGGAAGGCCTCCTGGCTGTGACCGAGGCGGCCAGGCAGGTAGGAGGCCATCCAGCACTACTGGGGAAGCCGGCGTGCAGGAGACTCGGTCACAGAGGCCAGCGTTTAGCCTCTGGGGCCTGGGCCTCAGGTACCCAGAGTAGAGTGACCCAAATTTGATACCAGCAGGGCTCAGAAAAGCCCTTCTTGCTGAGGGGCGTGAATGAACCCTAGAGTTCTTTTTGGAGGGGGTGAAAACCCTGTTGAGGATCAGGTGGCTAGGGCTACAGGGTGTGGAGAGCAGGTGGCCTCTGCGGCCCGGATGGACAGGCCTAGGCATCAGGACCGAACGTGGACATGGAGGTTGTTGAGGCCTTGCGGAGGAAAGGACACTCTCTGAAGGATCAAGGAGGGCAAAGGTCAGAGAGAGACCTCTCCCTGCAAGGTCTCCCCAGGCATGGGCATCTTTTCTCCTCAAAATCTCAGCCCCACATGCTTATGGAGCTGATCTGAGTGAACCAGTTCACCCCAAACCTGCCCGCAGCCACTCCGCAAAGAGAAGAAAGAGGCCTTGCGCTGAAGTGGGAGAGGGCAGTCGGTGGCTGGGTGCTTTCTGTCACTGTTTTTCTGCCTGAAAGATGTCTTGTGGGGAACCCTGGACAGTTCTCGGGCTGTAACAAGTCCGTCCTTTCTGCTGTGATTCTGAGGGGCATCACTTAGAGCCAGAGGGGCTGGGAGAGGACTACCTTAGTCACATGCCGCTGACTGCCCTGCACACACAGAAGACACCCCCGCCCCGCTCCACTGTCTGCTTGCCCTTCCCGGGGCACTTTGGTACAGGGCTCCAGCAGCAGCTGGGGCCGCGACGCTGGCCGTTGTGTGAGGGCCTGCCCGAGACGGGCCTCTGAGCTGTCTCACTGAGGTGGGCCCACACGCCGGTAGCTAAGCCCCATGCGTGCAGGCGTGGCTCTTAGTAACTCTGCAGGGCTGTGTGCCCATCAGCACCAAAATACTTCATTGGAGCATCGTCAGCGCCTGCTCCCTGAGCTGCCCCCTCATCCCCTCGCCACCTCTACTAGCCCCCGACCAGACTCCTTTGTCTCTGTGGGTTTGCCCCTCTGTACACTTCAGGCCATTGGAGTCGGATGCCAGGTGATCCCCTGTGGCCGCCACGCTTGTTGCCACAGGGCCTGTGTGCCTGGAGCAGGCATCGGCGCTTCGCCCCGTCCTGCTGGGGGTGCCCACAGGGTGGGGGGCTTTCCACAGTGGCCACCTGTGAGTCAGCCTGTGGATGTTGTGCGGCTGCCACTGTTCGCTGCTCTGACTGCACGCTGTGGTGAGTGACCGTGGAGCTCCATGTCCGGAGTGTCATGCGTTTCCGTAGCCTTGGCGAGGTGCCTGGGCATGGGGCTGCTGGGCTCCGCAGCGACACAGGGTTGGGCCCTGCAAGGCGTGTGCAAGTCCTCAGGTCCGTGTAGGCTTTTGACTGGACCTTCTCCCCTTGGTGCTCGCCATTCAGGGCTGGTTGTCGACGTTTCCCCTTCCTGGTGCCCTTGGAGCTGGGCACTCCCAGGAGTTGCCTTGCTTCCAGGCTCGGGCCCTGTGGTTCAGCTCGTCCTTTGCGCCTGTGTGAGGTGCGGGGTAGCTCAGCTCGAATGCTGGGTGCTGCTCCCGAGCCCCGGCTCCGGCAGGACAGGTGCAAGTCAGTGAAGGCGACAAACACTGAAGGAGAGCGGGAGGCATGGCGGCGGGGGAGGAGTGCGTCAAGGCGACTCTGGTCGTGTCGCTCCTGGACCCGGCCTTGCAGCTGTGGATCGGAGTGGAGAACAGCAGCCTTTCCCCGAGACAGGAAGCGGTGCGGGGCTATGAAGGGGGCTGGTGCCACCATGCCAGGTAGCTCGGGCTGAACGCTGCATCCTCAGAACTCAGGTCCCCGACTCCAGTACCTGCAGGACACCAGGCTCCTTCAGCGTACAGACTGCCTCTCCCCACCCCTTCTCCCCTCTGCCTTGCGATTCGGCACGCCTGCTTGCCCCTGGGGTCTGTCCTTCACTCCCAGCTGCTTCGATGTCTGCAGAGAGCTGAGGGCGAGGGGCAGGGGCTGACTGGCGGTGTGCTGAAGGTGTCCATGTCTCCACCCCACAGCCCGCCCTGGGACACCTCGACGCCAAGCCCAGCAGTAAGTCCAACATGCTGCGGGGCCGCAACTCAGCCACCTCTGCCGACGAGCAGCCCCATATCGGCAACTACCGACTCCTCAAGACCATCGGCAAGGGTAACTTCGCCAAGGTGAAGCTGGCCCGGCACATCCTGACCGGGAAGGAGGTGAGCCCGGGGCTGGGGACCGGACGCGTGAGTGCGCAGCCTTTCCCAGGCGGCGGTGGGACCGCCCTCCAGCCCCTCTCCTGTCTAACTGGTGGAAATGAGATTCAAAGAGGCGGCTTGCTAAGGTGGGGTGGGGCAGACATAAAGCAGGAACCTGAGCACGTGCTGTGTTTAACCTCACCAGAGGCAATCTTGGTCTTTTGTCTCATGTCCAGGTAGCTGTGAAGATCATTGATAAGACTCAGCTGAACTCCTCCAGCCTCCAGAAAGTAAGCACACAGCACAACACCTCCTGTTTCTTTCCAAACTCTTAAGGGGTCACTGTGCTGCTGACCCCGTTCCACTTCCTCTGGTTTAAGGTCTCTGGTCTAAGGTCTCTGGTCATTCACGGTCTCCTCCCGGCCATCTGTGGCTCTGTTACCTTTAGGGCTTTGGGTGGACCCCCTGAGTTCACTCTGTATTGGGCTTCCTGGCCACAGGCCCAGGACTCTTGAATGGCCGAGCTATCTGACCTGCTTCCTACGTTCTGTTATCTTCTGGCCTGTGGCCAGTGCGGTGCAAAAACAAAAAAAAAAAAAAAAAAAAAACCAAAAACGTGTTGGTAGCCATTGCCAGTAGCACATGCGGCACCTCCCGGGCCCAGCACCGGCTCTGTGGCAGAGAATGCGTGCAGAATCCTGTTCTCAGAAGCCGCGCCGCCCCCGGCGGGGGCAGCGTGCAGGTTGAGGATAGCTCCTCTCCGGGCTAATGCCTAGAAGCCGTCAGGTCGTGTGCACGTACTCTGTGCTAGTTGAGATTGAGCCCTTCCTGCCTCCTTGACTTGAAATGGGAACCTGAGGTCTTACGCAGCTGAATGGGGAGTCCTCCAGGTAGGAAGACATAACCCCAACTCAAAAAGTTGGAAAGGCTGGTAGGATTGAGCCTTTGCAGAAGGCTTGCTGCGATGGGCTGTTGTCATTCTGGAAGCTGTCTGCTGCTCCTCCACCCTGGGCTGTAGCACTCAGGGGAAGGAGGAAATCTCCCATCTGGCTTCCAAGAAGTAGCCCTCATCAGGCCAGTCAGATCCCATGCCCTCTGCTCCAGCTGGTCATGGCTCAGACTTTGACTTTGCTCGCCCAGTTTTCTTCTTGTGGCAAGTTGCAGTTTTCTCTCCATGAGCACGTTGTTTGGGAGGGGTGCGGCCTCATGCTACAAAATCCACGGTGGAGAGAGGGGCTGGTTCAGTGGCCGCAGCGAGACTGCTGCTCACAGAACAAGATGGTACGGTGGGGGTGCTCTGACACACTGACAGCCGGCACCAAGGTGTTTCTGGTTTTCTGTTGCCCCAGGATCCCTTCAAAATTCTTCAGTTCGGAGGAAACACTGTTGTCATCACCAAGGCTTCCCAGTTTTGAACTTTTCCTTCAGGAAGGGACAGAGCTATTCTTGATGTACTGGCTCAGATCCTGTGGGCTAGAACTTGGGGTAGCCATTGACCTCTGGAGCATTCCAGCCTGCCATCATCAAAACTGCCTGGCCAGCTCATTGCCCACCTTCTCCCTGCCTTTTTCCCTGACCATCTAGAAGGCATACGGATACGAGTCAGGTGTAGCCATCCCGAAAGCCTTTTTTTTTTCTTTCCGAAGATTGATTTATTTACGCTGGCAAGAGATATGGTGGGTGAGAGGATTCACCAGAGACAGAGCAGAACAGGCAAATCTACTGAAATACACTGCAGAGGGGAGCAGCGGGTGAAATAGGTCTGCTATGCTGTGTGGGTCAGCTCCCTCACTGGGAATCGAACACGTGCTGCAGTGGCTTCAGAGAGCTTCATAATGTGGAGAGTCCCTGAAAGCCTTTTAACACTGTGGCCGAGTCACACTTGTCCATGTAGGCAAGAAGCAAAGAAGCAGCCCCTCTGGGGCTTCGGGGAAGCCTGGCAAACACCTTCTCCAGGAAGGGCCACGTCCAGGCCAGGTGGGCGTCCCAGGGCACTCAGGCAGCGGCCTCGGGACCCATTTCAATGCTGCTCCTCATGACTGCCCCTGAAGGTGTGTCCAGGGGGTTTTGTCCTTTCATACAGGACATCTCCTGGGCCAGGACAGGGAGCTGGGATCTGAGTTAGACTCCTTAAGGATAGGGACTGGCTCACAAGAGCTGTGGGGTCTTCATAGAGGGGAAAGGGGAGAAACTGGATCCTCAATTAGGTCTGCAGACCCCCAATTCCCGAATGCTAATTCTGTTCTTTGTGCAAGTGGTGAGGTCTGGAAGTCACACACGCACGAGAAGACAGCCTTCCTGTTCTCTGGCCCCCGCAGAGGGGATGGAGTTCATTGCTGTCATCTTTCTTTATGGAAATACATGGTTTGGAGCCCCTGGTTTGGTTTCACAAAGAGAGCGTGAGTGTGTGGAGGTGGATTTGATTAAAATTGGCATCAGCTATATATAGGAGTGGCTTCTTCTGTCACCGCCCCGGAGGCCCAGGAGAGCTCCGACTTAAGTAAATCAGAAGATGATGAGGTCCCCTTCAGGAAACCCCCAGCCCTTTGCACCAACCAACCGGAGTGTTCGGTCACTGAACTTTAGAAGCAGCTCAGGTCCTGAGTATTGATCGACATGGATTCGCACTAGCCCTTCAGAAGCCCCTGTCCAAAAAGCCGCTGCTATTCGGGGGCCGGTTTTGGGTGACCTACAGCAGAGGTGCCGACGCGCCCGGACCCAACCCTAAGAGTGAACCCTGGGAGCTGCTTTCAGGCAGCTGGCCCTGTTGGCTCCTCTCACTCCCCTGCTTCTCAGCCACCTCAGAGGGCGTGGGAGCGCCGGCCAGCTGCCTGTGTCTCTGCCCTGCCGTTGTCTCCTAGAGAAAGCTTCCTCGCCGTGGCTCTGCAGAGCGGGTGGAGCAGGCGTGACCCCCCGGTATCTTATTTTTCAGCTCTTCCGTGAAGTAAGAATAATGAAGGTCTTGAATCATCCCAACATAGGTGAGAACCAGTTGGCCCTCCTGTCTTCTCCCCAGGCGAGGCCGCACCCCCAGCTTGCTGCCCTACCCCGCAGTGCTCTCCGCTCCGGGAGAGGCGGCTTCGAGGCCAGTCCTGCCTCTCTCCTGGGGGGGAGGTGCGAAAGCGGGAGACTTCCGCCTCCAAGATGCCCCTGCGGCTCCATGTGGCACCCCCAGCTACTTCTCTGACTACATCTCTTGCCTGTTTCTCTTGCAGTTAAATTATTTGAAGTAATTGAGACTGAAAAAACGCTCTACCTTGTCATGGAGTATGCGAGTGGAGGTAGGTGTAGACCTGCCTGCCCATTCCAGCTGCGTCCAGCCCTAGCCAGCTCTGACCTCTGCCCTGCCTGTCTCTTGCAGGAGAAGTGTTTGATTACCTAGTGGCTCATGGCAGAATGAAAGAAAAGGAGGCTCGGGCCAAATTCCGCCAGGTGGGTGTGAGTC